ACTAGCTAAACTGAACTACTATCGAGGATCATGAGATATGATCGAAACATCCAGAACACCACGGGTTTTACAAAGATCCTATTTTTGAAGTTCTACCTTTTGGCCTGTAGATGGAGACAAACACCAACCGTCTGGGCGAGAAGGTCTCCCTCATACATGGGCAAAATAACTGTACAAATAACCTCCATTGTTTTCGAAGAAACGACGGAAACCTCATCACACGGGAGAGACAACGGACCTGTCTGCACTGCTTGAGTAAACATTACTTATGCTTCATTGGTAAACGGGAGCTGTGACTGTGGAGCGACGGTCTTAACGACGACTTGTTGCGAGGACGGGAGATGCGGCGGCGGCGGCGGCGGACGGTGCAGATACTGGTGGATGCTGAGAAGCGGCTGTAGTTTCATCACCAACAGCAGCTATATGAGTCAACATGGCCGCGGAGCAGCTCGACCTGCTCATCCTCTGAGCCGTAGAGCAAAACAATACTGAGGTAATGAAAAATACACGGTTCGTTTTATGCATACTCAGAAGGGCATTTTAATGGGGAAACACGAGACAAAGAAAGTTTTTGGCTCCATATCTACAGGTAATATAATCTTATTGAACACGCTTGCATTTATGACTCTGAAAGCAGTTTAAATACAGCTCCGTGCGATAAATGGGCTCGTTTTCTTCCTTTTGTTCAGCATAAATGGCGTTCATGCCCCGCTTCTCTCGGTCTCGGAGCAGCTCCAGGTCTCCGAGCCGAAAGGAGTCTGAGCGTGACTCCCCGACACTGACGGTGTCCGAGCTGGAGAGGCTGCTGTACACGGGCAAGACGGCCTGCAACCATGCGGACGAAGTGTGGCCCAGGCTCTACATTGGAGACCAGTGAGTTGGTTTTCAGTGGAGCTGCTATTGCCAGAATGATGTATCAGACAGCAGAGAAGAGTAGAGGTTCTTGTTTACACTCCAAACTATTTTCCTGAGCGAACCTCTCCCCACACATATAACACCACGTTGGTTCATAAGACTGACTACAGAGCTATAATTCTTGTAAAGTATTTTTCCGTGTGCATGTGCAAAGGGTGCCCAAATCGCAACTCTGTTTATGTCTGACCAAAAAATCAGCTAAAATATGACCAACATATTTATTTTGTTTTTAGTGTTAGTCACTTGATGCAATGAAATATCTCATATACACACTGCTCAAAAAAATAAAGGGAACACTCAAATAACACATCCTAGATCTGAATGAATGAAATATTCTCATTGAATACTTTGTTCTGTACAAAGTTGAATGTGCTGACAACAAAATCACACACAAGTCATCAATGGAAATCAAATTTATTAACCAATGGAGGCCTGGATTTGGAGCCACACACAAAATTAAAGTCAAATGTTCCCGTTATTTTATATATATATATATATATATATATATATATATATATATATATATATTCTCTATAATGTCTGTACGTTTGGTCGTTTTATTTT